TAGGTCAGCTGTCCAATTGACTGATCAAAAATGTGATTCAAGGCTTGAAACTTAACATGAGCAATCTTAGGGGTCCAAGATGATGTATGAAAGTCACATGAAGCATTAATGGTCCAAAAATCCTTGTGCAAACTCAAACCCTAATTTTGGGTGATCAGTGCAAGATGAGATGTCTTGAGCTGACCAAACCCTAATCTTGTCTTGGGTCCAAGAAGTCTTGTGAGAAAAATCTTGATAAATGAGAGGGTAAATTTTGGGGTACAACACTAACCAACGATTACAATCAAAACAGCTCCCCGTATCCATTTCACTGTACCAAACCTCTACCTATTTTCCACCAATTCTCCCTGGTCATCCTTGAATCTGACTCAAATTGAATCCTTAGAGATGTTGAGACGTGAAATTTCATGAAGATGGTGATGATTGTACATGTCTCACTCGGTGACGACAAAGCTTCTGATTTCTAGGTATTCCTCTTCATCACTTTTCACTTGTTGTGTTTTGATGTAGAGAGCATGTAGTAAGCGGCGCGCTGATGTCGTTATATGAAGAAGTACGTGAGGAAGATGAAATTTCGGTGGATTTGTCGCTACTGCGGAGGATGCGTGATGATGATTGAAGGTGTCGTATTGTAGCAGGTGAAGGTTGAAGTTGTTATGCCATTGTGTGAAGATTTAAGAAGGTTGATAGAAAGGCTTGAACGGAGATTGAAGGTTTGTTGAAGTGGATGAAAGAGACATGGTTATGGACAGTGAGATGGAGAAGATTGCAGAGAAACTTCAAGAGTTTTCAGAGAGAGTTTGAAGCCTATTTTTGGTGATTCTTATGAATATTAAAGAATGAGGCTGACGAAGATTCTCAAGAGTGAAGGTTGAATATAGATTGCATAGAATTTCTCCAAGAGAAAGATTGGAGAATTTTCATGTTTTTCGTGGATTCCCCGGGGAGAGTGAAGAAGAAGCCTAAAAGGTGAGTTTTTTCTGTTATATATCTCTGTTAGATCTGGAAAATTTTGTTACAAGGAAATTGAATCTGAACTGTTAATTTTAATAGTTAGTTACAAGAATTAGAAAGCTGAGATTTGTTTGAAATTCTATTATAAGCTGAGCTGGCAATTCAGTTTCAATTTCCTGATTTACCCCGTCAATTTTCCATGATATTTTCATTTATATTTTCTGATTATTCCCTCTGTTTTATTGAGTTGGCTTATTGTTTCTGATTTCTGATTTTTCTTCTTAGTTGTATTAGGTACTCATGTTACAAATGAATGTAGGGTTGGTTATAGGGAAATGTGAATTTGGTTTGAACCGATTTTCACAGAGTTTGTTAGTGCAGGTTGAAGCTCGGGCAGTAGGTCATGATGACACGGCTCAAGAGCAAATCAACAAATTTCATTTAAACAGCAGAATCAACGATCAAAGCTTAAAATGCAAATTCACCATCCCATTTTGATTTTCCTTCCCAGCTTTAGGCTCTTATTCTCTTCAATTGATCCCTTGCGCATTGAGCTGTTGTGATATAGACTGGTTGAAATTTCTATGCAGGATAACATGGTGAACTGACGTGAGTAAATTGATTTTACCTCTTTGGCTGCAGTGGTACCATTTCTGAACTGATTTATTATATGGTCATGGCGGCTTTGAGATTCTTCTTTTCTAAATAGGTTTTATTTGGTATGAATTGCAGGGTTTTTTTTTTGGTTTTTTATAGGTGTTGTAGTGAATGCGGATTTGGGGATCCAAGTTTAATGGACAAATTTTGATGTTTGTAGGTATGCAAATCAGAATGGTTTAGTTATAAGTGGCTTATTGCATTCGTTTGTGTCAACTGATAGGTGTAGGGAATTTTGTGGATGAACCTATTGGTTTAGTACACTGAACGACACTCTTTATGAACACAACTACTACATGTTAGACCCTGAATTTATCTTGAAAAATCTGCACTTATTATGGAATTGTTTCAACTTGTGAAAACCTGTTGATTTGTATATGTACGTATTTGTTATACAGGTTTCATATAGTCTTTCAGGTTGAAATTATGGTGCACAGTGCAAGAGTATGATGGACATATCCTACAACAACTTGTCTATCGCAGATGCCAATGAGTCAGACGTATTGGTTGATGGCTCAGCATAGTGGCAACGAGTTTATGGCTAGCTTTGTAAGTATGGTAGATATTTTGCAAGGGTATTGGATTGGGTACAAGGCAAAGTCTATACTCAATATTTGACTCAGGAGGCTTCAATTTTAGGCTTAGAACTTAGAGTTAGCCATGCTTTTGCTTTTGTAATGTTCTTTTCTTTTTGTTCAGGGCTTCCATGGATAATTGTAAAAAAAATTGTTTTGAACTTTGAATGGGTACGTATTCTTGTAGTAAACTTGAGTGTGTAATGAATGATGATAACACGAAAAGGCCGCATATTTCTTGATTCATTTCTTAAGAATATTGAAACTTATATGCTAAGCAAACTTGAACTGTGATACATATACTTTTGGAATTTCCACTGAGAATCGTGTCTTGAAAATGCTTGCAAACTTTGAATAATATTGCACTTTTGACAAATTGAAATCAATGGACTTGATCTTGGAATTTTGAATCTTGAATCAATTGGAACTTGAATCTTCCACTTGAAATTGAAAGTGATCCCATGCCTTAAATAACGTTTAAAGTGTTGTATTATTTTTCCTTGATAGCTTGAATTTCAAGAGATCAACCATGGATGGATCTTCCAATTTACACGCTTGATTAATGCACCTCAATCTCAATTGAAACCATAAGTCCAAGTTAACTTGTGAAGAAATCCACATGAACTTTCTTCTAATACTAGCATGAATCAACTCTTGACAGACATGTGCTTGAGAACCTTAACTAATCTTGAGACCATGCCTTGTAACCTTTGCATTTCAGGAAATACTTATGACACTTGCACCTTAAGAAACTTTAATGGATAATTCCCTAATCAAATCCTAAATTCTCCATGAAACTTTAACTTGCATTACAAGTAATAACAACTCGAGAGAATAATCCCTCGAGGAATCCTTTGAAAAAGAAAGTAGCCTTAACAACACATTAATGAGAAGGTGTCCTGAGAGCTTGAAGAGGACTAAAACCCAAACCCAAAACATTCTCAATTGAAACATGATGAAGCCTTAAGCACAATAGGTTGAAACCCTTAATGATTTGGTTCTTTGGGGAAATCTTATCAATGAGGAAATCCATGATGCTTGTGATTCAAAACCATAATACTAAGAGCCCTTTGATCCAATGTTTTGAGAGGTCAAATAAACGAAATGATTTATGACGCAAATGCATATGATGTTACAAATGAGCATATTATAGGTAAAAACGGGGTATGGCAGTTGTAGGAATTTTAAATCTTAATGACCACGACTCACAACCCTAATTCCACTACCCAGTGTGTGAAGAAGAAATCAACCTTTATTGGATATGCACGCCTTAACCAGTGTAAAACCCTAATATTGCATGACCATTGAACTTTGAATCTCATATCTATATTGAATGAAATGTATGCCATGTTAGTGACCTAATGGAATATATACATATGAATGCAAAAGCCTAAGCCCAAATGAAAGAAATTTAGGAGGGCAAATTTTGGGGTGCAACAGGAACCTTATGTTTTTTTACAAAAAACACATCAGAGCTTATTTCAGATATGCATATCTGAATCAACATTCTATTAGAAAATAACATAGAGGTGGTTTCAGATTTGCATATCTGAAATACGCCCTAATGTGTTTTTAAAAAAAACAATGTTCCTTTGGAAGTGTATTTCTGAATTATGCAGATGTAGTAGATAAGATTTCTTGGGTCCAAATTGCTCCATAAAGTCTATAAATAGGGTCTCCAAAACATTTCATCAACATCACAAACCAGAGCCAGAAATGACTCAAACATATCCTTACCTTACTTTTGTCTACTTCAGTGGTGCGCAATCGCCACTTCAATTCAGGTTCTTGCAGAACATGCCTTTTGCCGAGCTTATTACCATAATGAATTATCTCTTACAATATCCAGAGAATCGAAAGGTGGTCAAGCTTGAGTATCGCTCATCCTCAATTGACACTAAAGGAAACATAAAGTTCACCCTGTTTGAGCTCAAGAATAACGACGATTTAGAGGTTATGTGAGCTACTTTTCAATGATACTTTTCTAAGGGTCCTATTGAGGTGGATGTGAAGCTTCAAAGATCGAGAGAAGATGTTATCAAAATGTTGCGACGTCCTCAGTTACCCGTTTATAACAATATGTAATTTGAAATTTCTGTAGAACAATATATGTAATTTCGATGAATTATGTTGAATCTATGTTATGAATTATGTTGAATTATGTTGATTCTTCTGTCCAAGAGATAAATTTGAATGTGCATATCCGAAATAGGAAATCAAGTGACTTCGTATGTGCATATGCAAAGTCAATTTAATAAAAAAATGAATCGTGGTGACTTCAGATATGCACATCTGAAGCCACCTATTCTTGACAAATACGGTGCATTCGAATATGCACATTCGAATTTTGAGGGTATTTTGGGTTTTTTTTCAGGGGGCTCCAAGAAAACAACAAGGTGAGGAAAGAAATTCTCTCGATTTGTTACTCCATAGTTGTTATCTTTTTTTGACTTACGCCCACTTAATTTTATTTTATTTTTTTAAATGGTATTAGATGTATACAATATTTTTTTTAAAATATTCTAAATATGTATAAAATTTACTTTCTTTTCATAATTTCCATTTATAATAACATTTAGTAGTATATAAACACAGACATTGTAGAGTCTTTGTTAACCTTAGCCGCGATAGAGTCATTGTTAACCCTAGCCACAATAGAGTCTTTGTTAACCCTAGTCGTCTGAAGGTGGTCTTTATTACTCTACTCGCTACAGATTCTTTTTCAAGCCTAGTCGTGAGAAGGTCTCTGCTAACCTTACATGAAAGTTTGCTTTTAGAATCTCACGCGGCTTGAAAGATTATTACAGTTCTAGTATGTCGTCAAACGAGTTAATGGCTTTGAATGAAGGTATTGCGTTAGATTTCTTGTAAAATATAACAAATGTCGTTATTATATTAATGGATATAGATTTAGTTTATTTGATTGATAATGGATGTGATCGAGTACATGTTTTTTTTTATAATCTAGTAATTCAAGTTCACGATTTTCACTTAAAGTTGTCTAGTACATTTGTGACACACATTTGATCTTAGTTTAAAGCAAGACATCAATTTTTTTGTTGTATTTTAGACTTTACTTCTTTTATTTTCATGGTAGATATAATTTTATGAATTTAAAGGTAGTGAACTATCATTACAAATCAATATTACACAGACATTTAATCAAAATCTTTAAATTTATCAAATTATATCAGTATTTTAAAAATAAAAATATAACTTGGTGGAAAACGCGTCGCTTATTGATTGGGGGTGTAATTTTTTTCTTCATTTTCTCTAAGTTTACCTCTTTTTAAGATATTACCCACAAAAATATATAAAACGAAAATATAAATTTTTTCAAATATTAAAAATCGCAAATATTTTTTATATTAAATTCCATAGATATTTGATATATTAAGATGAATTTGATTTTGAGATTTCCTCAATCTACATTTGATGAGAACTTAGCCTCTAGCATGTGTAAAAGTAAATTGAAAGTACAATTATTTTTTAATAAAAAAAATAAAATGATCATATTTCGAACTTCCACTTTCCCTCTTACTCTTCCATGCTCCTTTCCATTCATTTTCCCTCTTCACAATTTTTTTATTCTCTATTCTCTTCTATCTTCACGTAATAATGAACGAACACATCCATTTATCCCACTTCAATTTTATTTCATATAGTTTCATTCTTTCTTTTTTATATATTTTAAGTTCTAACATTATTATTAATTATCATGTTATGAAGGTTTCCCTGAAGTTATAGAGGAGTTTTTGGAACATGAACCAACTATGAAATGTGTCGCTTTCAATCGTCGCGGTACTCTGCTAGCTGGTAATTATCCTTTTTCCTTATATTTGTAACGATTTTTCTACAAATACAGACACCAGACTCGACATTGTTATTGTTATCTAGTACTGGTATATTTTATTTTCTACCAAACACAGACATCAGACACGACACTATCAGTGTTGAACTTTTATTTCTTTGATAAATTCAATCAGCTGGGTGCAACGATGGAAGTTGCGTTATCTGGGATTTTGAAACTAGAGGCATTGCGAAAGAGCTTAGAGATGATGAATGTTCTTCTCCGATAACCAGTGTTTGTTGGTCGAGGAGTGGTAATCGAATTCTTGTATCTGCGGTTGACAGGTCCCTAACATTGTGGGATGTTATGAGTGGTACAAGAACAACTAGGATATTTTTGCTACAAACTCCTCTACAAGTTAGTTTTTGTCCAAGTTCATCAAACTCTTCTCTCTGCTTGGTATGTCCAGTCTCATGTACTCCAATGATTGTTGACTTAAACAATGGAAATACAACTCTTTTGAAAATTTCTGTGTTAGAGAAGTCAAATGGACTAAACCATGCGGCCTCGCGTAACAAGGGGCCTGGTGGAACCCCCTTCACGCCTGCGGCTGCATGTTTTAATAAGCACGGAAATTTGATTTATTTGGGAAACTCCAAAGGAAAAATACTTGTGATTGATGGTAAAGATGGTGAGGTACGTGCCATGGTTCATGTATCTGATTCTGTTGTGAAGAATGTTGTATTCAGCAGGAATGGACAATATCTTTTAACGAACTCTTATGAAAGAATAATCAGGATTTATGAAAACCTTCTCCCTTTGAAAGATGAAATTAAAGCACTTGATGAACTAGATGAGAACCAAAAGGATCTACATGGAATTGAGAAATTGAACGTTGTAGGATCAAAATGTTTAACGTTAATTCGGGGATTTAAAGATTCTGTCACGAAGGTGCACTGGAAAGTGCCATGTTTCAGTCGTGACGGTGAGTGGGTTGTTGGTGGTTCTGCTAGTAAATACGAGCACAAGATTTATATATGGAATAGAGAAGGAAGTCTTGTGAGAATCCTTGAAGGGCCTAACGAAACTCTTCTCGATTTGGCATGGCATCCTGTACGACCTATCATTGTATCTGTTTCTGTGACTGGTGTAGTTTATATCTGGGCTAAACATTACACTGAGTATTGGAGTGCTTTATCTCCCGATTTCACAGATATTGATGTAAATGAGGACCTTGTAGAGGAAGAAGATGAATTTGATTTGAATCCTAGAACAAAGGTACGTGAGTGTTAGAATGTCATGCAAGTTATTTTTTTCTTCACGACACTACTGATAATAATTTGAAAAAAATATGTAAATTAAATGTGATCACAAGTATTAGTGTGGATGCAAGCACTGATTTTTTTAGAAGTGTCAGTGCTACATAGTTTTCCTTTGTGTTCATTTTTTGATCCTAGGTTCTTATGATTTCAGGTAAAGATATCTGATGTTGATGAAGACGAGGAAGTTGACATCATGAAAGTGGAGAAAGATACCACTTTCAGTGACTCTGATATGTCTCAAGAAGAGTTATGTTACTTGCCAACAATTCCCATTCCCGATCCTCCTGAACCACAAGTTCCTGAACAACAAGTTCCCGAACCAATAATTCAGGAACAACAAGTTCAGGAACCTCAAGACAAGATTTTAGAATTCTCTTCAAATCTAGTGGACAACAATAAATCCGATTCTCCTCTTTCAGAAATAGCTAAACCAAATATAGATGATGCTGAGGGAACAAGGTGTAAAAGAATGCGAAAACCTTCGCAAAAGATGCTGGAGTTGCAGGAACAAAAAGCCAAGAAAACATCAAAAGTCAAAAAGAAACCTTTAGCTGAGGAAACTAGTGGTAATAAAAATGGTTTTTATTGTGATGAAGAATGGAAGATTGTCAATTCTTTTATTTAAAAGCATATTTTACTATTTCCTCTATAAAGGTTGCAATTTTTACATATTGGCTTTAACATTATTTATAGATGATGCTGATGCTGGTGCGGAGGGAACACAAATTAAAAGAGGGCAAAAACCTTCTAAGAAGGATAAAGGTAAATGGTTTATATTATTAGGAAATTTTTGCTGAATAATGAAGGATTTCTTGAATTTACTTGTCAATTATATTTAGATTCTTGAATTGTTTTTACACTCAGGAAATTAGACGCTTAAATTGTAACTAGAATGTGAATTGATGTCTTTCTAATAAGTTTAAGTAAATCGTTCTTAAAGTAAAATCAAGTAAGTTTGGTGTTAGGATTTCTTAGTTGGAAATAAAATTAGTTTTCACCCCCTTTATTTATTCTTTTTTCCAGGTAAAGAACCACAAGTTTAGCAGTATGAAGAGGCGGGAGCAATGAGGTTTTGGACTTTTGATTTTGTATTTTCATTAAAGTGGGATTTCTTATAATGTAATTTCACTTATGTATTTTATTTTTACTTTGAAATGTTATTTTGAGGTTGCTATGCCAATCAAATTCATGAGAACACCTATGTTGTACTATTATATTTAAGACTTAAATATTAAGTTCATATTTAGAAGCGGTGAGTTTTAGGAAATATACTCGGTTAATGAAGTATATTTAGTTGGAGTAATTATTTTGTTTTTAAAATTTTTAGTTTAATATGAATTTTAAATTGCTATCTTTCAAAATATTTCTTATAATAAGATTGAAATGTTGTAATGAGTTGAATCCGGAGTATGTTATTGATATATAAGAAAATGATATATGCATTATATTGTATTTGAGTTTTTGCAAAGTGGTTTCAATATCAAATGTTAAAACTAACAATTCGTTTGTCATAAGAGTATTATTTATTGTAAGTAGTATGATGATAAAAGAGTAGTATAACATTTTGTTTTTAAAAAAAAGAAAGATGCTAAAATTATTTTAGATATATTATATGGAAAATATATGTAAAATATCTTTTATTTTAATATTTTAACTTTATTAATTAAAAATATTTGCAAGGAAAATAGAAATATTATTTTATAAGTTTTATGAGAATATGTAAGTAGTTATTAGGTTAATATATTTTTGTATTTTTTAATTTTATAATTAAAAAATTATCGTAAGAAAAATAGAAATATTGTTTTATTAGTTTTGTGAAAACATGTAAATAGTTATTAGGTTAATATATTTTTTTGCATTTTTCAGGATTGACCTCATGATCTCAAGTAGAGACTCTATGTGATTTTGACTTTTGAAAAGTGAAGATGAAGGTTCACAAAAATACAAGAAGGGGGAATTGAATTGGTGTTGTGAATAACGAGAAGGTTCAATTTCAATATGTGAGATAAAGAATAATAGCAACCAAAATAAATGGCATACATCAATAATAATCAATACACAGATAATGTAACAGAATAAGGCGAGAAAAATACAAAATATTTGTTTAACCAGTTTGATCAAACAATATACTCTGGGGGAGAGAATAGCTCTCAAATTCACTATACTCAGAAATTGTTACAAGAGATTACAAATGAGTTAAAAAATAGTCTTCGTCTTCAGTTTCCAAGAACAACCCTAAATGGGCACAAGAACAAACCTATTTTCTACCCAAGTGTTCCCCAATCTTTTTAACTCTCAATATATGAATAACTCAAACCCAATGTGTAACTAGTATTTCCCAATAACCTTAAGCAACTTCAAAGGTTTCCCCGAAACCTTTTTCTTTCTAAGGTTTCTCTTGAGAAGATCTTAAACCCCTTGCTCTAGCATTTTGCTATAAACTATAAGACTCACCCCTTTTAATCACAACAAAGAGATACATATTTATAATAGCCAAAACTCAAGCCAAAAAAAATACAACCTGTTGTACCCCAAAATTTGCCCTCTCATGTTTTCAAAAGTCTTCCCTTACATGGTTGGTCACAAACATTTGCCTAACGAAAATAAAGTTTTTTGAAGATGAACAAAGTGTCTTTCGATTGGCATCTGGGAAAAGTCTTCGATTGGGTATCCAAAATACTTCGATACAGGCTTGACTCACCAGTCTTCGATTGGCCATTTGGCACTCTTCGATCAGGCTTAGATTAGTAAGTTTCGACTAGGTGTTTGGAACCATTCGATCAAGCTTTGGTGTACAAGTCTTTGATTGAACGCTGGACCCCTTCGATCAAGTCAATTTCACAATGCTTCGACTAGTACTTCAGAGGGTCCTTCAACTGGAACTTCATACTTTACCTCAATCAGAACATCAGAACGAAATGACCTTCGAATGGAATTTCAGTGTAGAGTTTATCTTAATCTAAGATGCTCTGATGAAGGAAGTTCTGGACACTTCGAATCAGAACTTAGACTCATCACAAGGCCAAGGGCTGGTCGAAGTTGTCTAATAGGGAATGTTTTAAATAGATTCGAATTGAACTTTGAAGCTGGCAAAGAAGGCAGATTCGAAGGAATGAAGTAGGCTGGCATGACTAAGCAAAAACACATATCCTAACCTGTCCAGGTTCACCCAAAGTTCACAATGGCATGTGTCCCTTGCAAATATAGAAATAATTAAATGCTGATTATGGACTCAATTATTTGAATTAAAGGCCAGATTCTTGCCTTGTTTGCTCCCAACCCTACAAGAGCTGATTCGACCAGGGTGATCCTTTTCGAATCAAGCAATCGAAGCAGAGGGAGGCTCAATCAAAGGGGCTATGCAATTGAAGCTGGAGTAATTCGATTTTGGACTTTGAAGCTATCAAAGAGAAGCATTCAAAGGGTCATTCGAAGAACATTCAAAAGGTCCATTTGAAGAAGCATTCAGAAGGCCCATTCGAAGGGCACATAAGAAGTTCATTCGAAGGAGGCAACTCAAGACCAATCGAAGAGCATGGCCTGGAGGCATTCGAAAATCAAAAGTGTCCAGGTTCATCCAAGATTCCAAAGAGACATGAATATTTCAAAAAAGGAAATCTTTTAATATGTTTGATTCGTGTCTCATAGCTTTAAAGGCCTGTTTAATTGGTTGTCTCTTGCCGTTACTAGACCATCATACTCCTATAAATACAAGGGCAAGCATACAGTGCAGAGAATACGAAAAAAGGAGAAAAAGAAACAAGGAGGATTTGGAGATACGCTGCCCACAAACCCACCAAAGGTTATCAGCATTTTCATAAGTAATCCAAACCAAAGCAGCCATTCAGCGAACATCTCCACACCCAGAGCCACAGATCATACATCTTTAATTGGTAAGGGTTTGCAAAACCAAAATTGCACCTTCATGAAATTTAAATACACATTGCATATGTATTCTTGTTATTACTGATTATGTTGCATGTAAGCTGAAGCGCAAAGATGAGATCATGCCATTGCTGGGGCACGATCTAAGTTTCTCCTTCGAATCTCAGGATAAAACAAACCCAGACCCAGATTCAGCAGATTCCAATTGAGGAAGGATTCGAATTGGGAGGAGATTCGAATCAGGGGGGTAAAGTCCCCCCTGGATCTTTAACATTTGTCTCGTTTTGCAGGAAATATCTTCTTAGAATCTTGTTCAGAGCTTCGAAGCTTAGCAGCTTAGCTTCGAACTGGATCCAGGGTTCCCAGATCGAAGGATGACATATCCAAATCGAACACCCCCAAAGTGCATCCCCTCATGCACCTTCGATCAAGCCTCTTCACTGGATCGAAAGACAGCCCACACCTCTTTCGATCCAGGCCTCCAGAATTATACCTTTCTTGATTTACTGCCTGTTCCTTCGATTTCATCTTTGTTTTGACTATTTTATTTCTTTTTTTTAATCAATATAAAATCAATTAAAACAAAAACAAAAACATTAGGCTAGTTTTTTCTATTAAATTAACTTTGTTAATTAATCATTTAATTATCTTAACATTTTCTCAAAACTAAAATTAAGAAGATTTAGATCATTTTCCCAAAATAAAATAAAACACAAAAAGATTTTATTCTTAGGATTTTTAGAGGGTATGTTCAGATTCGCGCGCGTTTATTTTATTGTAACTGCCTACTGGTTTGTAATAGCTTAACTAAGACTTTTACACTTTACTGCTTTATTCCCCCAAGTTTGGACGTGTAAATAATCCCCCTCCCCGAAGCCTTGTAATAGCGTAGGATTTACAATTCCTGCACTTTAAATTCCTATACATATATTAACTGCATAGATGTATGCTAACTAGGATTGTATGACAAGATCTGAAATCAAACGGTAGAACACCTAAATATACAAAGATAATATAACTGAAAAACAATACACTTGCACATGCCACTCTTAGGGTATACCTCACTTGGTTTCCTCGAACGTGGTCATTGAGTATAGGATATTTTAGAGGTCGCCCTCTTGCCCAAAGATCATAAGTTGCCTCGAAACGGTTGCCTCGGATAAAATGATCTAAGACATTAGGGTTACCACTAAGGCGTCCTAACATTGCTTTAGTGACCACACGTCCCTTAATCGAATTGACCCGAAAACTCCAACGACGATGCTACCTACTCCTCAATAGTGGGATAGCATTGTTTAAAGGACATTTGCACAGTTTAATTCCTTTTTGAGTAGGTAGATGTTCTTAAGTACTTTCTCCTTTTAAAACAAAACAAAACATTTCGCACTTACACTCTCTTTCAAAGCAAAAACTCTTTTCAAACCCACAATCACAAAGAAAAGCAAACTTTTGAAAACATAGTGAGCAAGTACCTAAGAGCCCGTGGATAACCACGGATAAAAATGGTGCTAACACCTTCCCTTTCTATAATCTACCTCCCGAATCCGAGAAACATCTTGAAAAGGAATTTTTCTGTGCTTTTGTCCTTTCCTTTTTGGATAAAATAAAAGACGATGGCGAATCTTGCTTACCGCGACATTTTGCAAAAACAAACGCAAACGCGAACCAGCATTCCAAAACAGTCAGTTCTCATTCCCACCGATCGCCAGAACTGGCGACTCTGTTGGGGATGTATTATAAGTGAGGTGTACCTTAGGATTAGATCACTTATGTTTTCAATTGTATGCTTTGTATGCTTTAAATTTTGTGGGCTTGTATCGGAGTTCTATAGATCCTAACCCGGATCTGGGGATACCCTTTAGGTAAGTAGCAATAAACTATGAGGGATCTGTCTGGTGTAGACCGACACGGATGAAGCAGTAGCTACGTTAGTGTGGCACTTTAGTCTGTACCGATATCCCTTGTGTTGAAACGAGGAGAATATGGGTCTTCTAAGGGGTCATTAAGCACCAACTGACCATAGAACCTTAAATTGACCAACTTGGCCATAGAACAGTAGCAGTATGCTACACTCATTGAGACTAAACTCTCGCGATGATTCTGGCCGCAAGAAAAGGTTGCCAAACTGGAATTATGACCGATTGAGGGTAGTCAGTGA